AGGTCCATTTGATGTATGATATTCAATTCAGATGTTTGTCTGCTTTTTTCCTGTTGATCTGTCTTTTGGAGAGATTGGTATATTGTTGATGTCTATTACTATTACTGAGTCAGTATTAATCTGTGCCTTGAAGTCCAAGGAACTGTTTTTATGATATTGGGTGCACTTGAGTTTGGCACATATAATTCATGATTGTAATGTTCTTAGCCTTTTGTTCCCTTGATCAGGATGAAATGACCTACTTGATCTCTTCTGAGTGATTTTAATGTGAAGTCTATTTTGTCAGATATTAGCATCACAATGCCTTCTTGTCATTTAGTGCCATTATCTTGGAATATTTTTTTCCATACTTTCACCCAAGGATGGTGTCTATTCTTGAAGGTGAGATGAGTTTCTTGTCAAAAACAAAAAGATGGATTTTGTTTCTTCATCCATTTAACTAGTCCATGTCTTTTGATATTTAAAATTACTATTGAAAGATGTGTATTAGTTATAGTCATCTTATTTTGTTTTTTGTTCTTAGTCCTATTTTGTATATCTGGAATTATACCTTCATTTGCTTTATTTCTATAGTTTTTTGGGTTTGGTCATTACTTTCTTCAGTCCTTTGTAGTGCTTCAAGTATTTTCTGTAGGACTGGTTTTGTGGACATGATGTCATGGAAAATTTTCCTTTCTGTTTTTATTATGATATATAGTTTTGCTTTGATAAGGTATTCTGGGTTGGTATTTATGATCATTTGTTACTTGGACTAGTTTTATCCAGGCTCTTCTGACTTTTATAGTGTTCATTGAAAAGTGAGCTTTAATTCTGTTGCATTTTCCTTTATGTGTTACTTGTTTTTCTCTTGCAGCTTTCAGTACCGTATCTTTAGTCTGTACATTTAATGATGTGTCATGGGGAGTTTTTTTCTGATCCTGGCTGTTTGGTGTTCTGTGTGCTTCTTGTATCTGTACGGGTTTGTCAGTACTTAATTTAGGGAATTTTTTTCCTATAATCTTTTTGAAGATCTGGTAAATTCCATGACCTGAGTTTCTGCCTCTAAACCTATGATGCATAGATTTGGTCTTTTCCTGGAGTCCCACATTTCCTGCATTTTCCATTCCTTCCTGCTTGTAATTTTTTTTCATATTCTTTTTTATATAAATATTTTTATTTAGCTTTTGTAATTTCATACATTTCTTAATCAAATTTAGACTCCCCCCATCCACACCTCCCCATCCCCCACCAGACCTCATGTATTCCACCATACATGTTAAGTACTATCCATTCAGGCAAATGTCCTTCAGTGTAAATTCATCCACTGGAGTCTAGTCAACCCATCTAGTCATCATATGTCATTTAATTCAGATGTCTCTTTGGTTATTTTTTGTCCAGTTGACCTATCTATTGAAGACAGTGAGGTATTAAAGTCACCCACTATCACTGAGTTGGTGTCAATTTCTGTTTCATATTCCTCGACTACTGATTTTATGAAATTGGGTGCTCCAGATATGTATATATTCATGATTGTAATATCTTCTTGGTAAATTGTTCCTTTGATTAGAATGAGGTAACCCTCATTATCTCTTTTGATGAGTTTTAATTTGAAGTCTATTTTGTCAGATATTAAAATGGTGACACCTGCTTGCGTCTTAGGGCCATTTGCTTGGAATATTTTTTTCTATCCTTTCACCCTATGATAATGTCTATTCTTGAAGGTGAGATGAGTTTCTTGAAGACAGCAAAAAGATGGGTTTTCTTTCTTGATCCATTGCACCAGCCTGTGTCTTTTGACAGGAGAGTTGAGGCCTAAAAGCAGTCCTAAGAGGAAAGTTTATAGCTCTAAGTGCCTACATTAAAAAATCAGAAACAGCACATGTAAATGACTTGACAATACAACTCAAGACCCTGGAAAGGGAAGAGCAAACCAACCCCAAACCTAGTAGATGAGAAGAAATAACAAAACTCAGAGCAGAAATCAATGAAATAGAAATAAAGAAAACAATATAAGAAAATCAATGAATCTAAGAGGTGGGTCTTTGAGAGGTTAAGCAAGATACACAGAGCCTAGCCCAGTTAACCAAAAGAAAGAAAGAGCAAACTGAAATCAACAAAATCAGAGATGAAAGGGAAACGTCACAATAGACACCAAAAAAAAAAAAAATGAAAACATTGTTAGTGACTACTTCAACAAAGTAATCGAAAACCACATTCAGACACACATCCAAAAATCATCCACCACGATCAAGTCGGGTTTATTCCAGAGATGCAGGGATGGTTCAATACCTTCAATACATGTCAATAAATGTAATAAACCATTTTAATGGACTTAATCACATGATCATCTCAATAGATACATAAAAGGCCTTTGACAAAATTCAACATCCATTTATGTTAAAATTCCTAAAGGGTTTTTTCCAGTTTGATATTTTGTTTTCCATTTGATTCCTTCTGTTTTTCCTGACCTTTCAAATTGGTTTATTGAGTCTTTCAGTTCTACCTTCTTTTCAGCCTGAGTTTTCGTCAATATTTCTTTTACTTTTGTGACTTCACTTTTCATGTCCTCAGTTGTCTTTTTCACTGAATTCATCCATATGTTTGTATTTTCTTATGCTTCAGTTAGTAGATTATTTCTCTCCTCTTTGAATTCTTTGAGTTGTTTGCTTGTGTGTTCTTTAAATACAGTGACTTCTTTGGTCATGTTTATGATTGTTCTTTTAAATTCTGTGTCCTGGGGTTACTCTAGGCAATTCTCAGGTGTAGAACAGTTTTACAAGAATGATGGGATTTAGTGAGGACATGTTACTTTGGTTTTTCAGATTATTTGAATTTTTTGTTATTTTGTGAGCATGTGGATTTCTTTTGTTGTTTGTGTGTCTTATATAAAACTCAAGCCTGCCTTTGTTGAGCTTAAGTTTGATTCTGTTTATATTGTTGATGTACAAGCCACGAATAGTTGGTCTGATCTTCATGGTCTCTCTTTTTATTTTTTATTGGAGGGACTGAATGGATATGGGCAGGCTAGTCAGCAGCTCTCTAGGGGGATGAAGAAGCCTAGGCCCAAGTAGATTCTAACTACTAAACAAAGATGGTGTGATTCCTGGAGTCAAGTGCCTGGGGATGTTCTCAAAGCAGGGGAATGGTGACTTGGCACAAGGAGATCAGGCTATCTCTCCTAGCTAGCCAGGCGCTCTCCAACAACCTCAGCGAGATAGGGTTAAAACCCAAGGAGAGTGGGTGGGGAACTGTGCTCTTTCTTGCTAGCTAGCCGAGAAGGCCCAAGCTCTGGAACTTTGGGACTGGAGATAGTCCCAAAGCAGGTTGTAGAGAGCAGTGGGACTTGAGTAATTCACCTGGGCTAATCAGGTGATCTCAGGCAGCCTTAGCAGGACTAGGCCAAAGCCCGAGGATAGCTGATGGGAACGAAACTGCCTGGTTTTTACTAACTAACTTAAATTGAATATTTTACATACTCTGGATATTAGTTCTTTCACAATTGTGTAAATTATGAATATTTATTCCAGTCTATAGATTGCTATTTTAACTCTGTTTTAGTGTTTGCTGCACAAAAGTTTTAAATTTTACTGGTTTGATTGACTTAGTTTTTCTACTTTCTTATCTTATCTTATATATATATATATATATATATATGATTCATATATGAGAGAAAATGT